ATTGGTTGTGATTCAGTTGCCTGTTGCTTGTGTATGTTTGAAATTAGCATTTGTGGCTTTACTTAAAAAATATTTCGCCCAAAGTTGTAGGATTATACGAATATTGTCTACTCGAAAGAGCCAACAAAAGAATTCACAACATGGGAGGAATTATACCAACGACATTGTGAACTTGTGAAGGCGAAAACCAAAGAAGATTTCGAGCGATTACAACAACAGAGTGCATTGAGCCGTTGTAAACAATTCATCGAAACGGTACTTTAAATCAGTCTCGTCGCATTGCTGACTGGCGAAATTGTATGGGGCGGTTGGTTGGGATTGAAAAGCTTTTCGATCGCTGCTTGAGGATTTGAGAATTTGAAATGGAAAAATATAGGCGTTAGCATCGATGTTCAGTTTACGCCTGATTCAAATCTGAGCGAAATCCATCCGTCTAACTTTATTGAGCCAAGGTGCAAGATACACATTTTGATGTGAAAGTCTTCAAAGCTCCGATACTTGATTGATTGATTGAGTTTTTAAACTGAAAATTGCCATAAAAGGAAATTCAATTTCAGATAACAGCTCTGAAATTTGTTCCTGGTTATGAGATGGTTAATGAGTCAGAAGCGAACTGTTGTGATAACAGCACGAAAATGTCAAATGATCCAGCGATTAAAATGTCACGCTCTAGTGGTGTGGTGGTTGAAAATGCTCCAATAAGTGGTGATGAAAAGGAGCAAGTGCAGCCAACGAGGAAGAAGAAATTACTGGAAAGGAGTTTAGTTAGGTACGGCGAATCTTGACTGAAAAGTCTTTTATAGGGAGATTTTGAGATGGGTGGAGTGTGATGCTGTGGGAAGTGAGCAAGCATATTCAGTTAACTGCATCAAATCGGTGCAGCAGTGATCGTGTTTAGGTGGTTGATTGCGGTGTTAATTAATCTGACTGCGTATTTATGAATTTGGTTTGATGTTTTGGTGTGATCGCTTTACATACAAGTTTCAGTTGCTGACGAAATTTACATTATTATCGCTTGGTAGACTAACAACTGGATAACTATCATAGGGTTTTTGCAACGGAGTCTTGACGGTAGCTAAGAAAAGACTGTACTAGTTGTGCTATGAAATTTTCAAGGAACTAGAATATTAGGGTGGCTTGTAGCGGGCAGTATCGAATGCGAAATGAATCATTGAAATGAGAGTTTTAGTTATGGCGATATGGAGATGTTCGATGATGTTTATGCGGATTTCTATGCTGAACCCTCGTATTCATCGAATCAGCAGAAACCGACTGTCCACACTTCTAAGGCATCATTCAGTGAAGCAAATGCTCATCAACCGTTCTCGAGCAATGACGATGAGGTATTTATTGTTGGTTCTATTGAATTGCTCATTTCAATTCTTTGGAATTTTNGTTGTATGCAAATTTATCAAAATTTATGTTGTATGCAAATTTATGGTGTCTGCTAGTTATTTCTGCTTTAAGGGAAGTTTCGTGTACTCACAAAATTTTTTCTTTCAAATTATTTTATTTTCATCTACATAAATGAAAATTTTGATGTGAAATGAAATGATCAAAGGGTTTGCAACAATAGACCAAACTGATACATCACCCACGCAACACATTTTTTAATGTCGGATATTTCGTGTAACTGAATGAATCATATTAGTTGCATGACAACAATTATAATGATTGTAAAAGCGTTTTCATTGTTGTGATGTTTTGATGGAAATATGAGCGATTTTTTTGTTTTGTATTTTTCCGTCGTTCGTTCATTATTTATTCTTTCATTCAATTGAACATCTGATGAAAACAGTTTGATAGAACTGAAAATTGTTGGAAATTCTATGCGACGACTGTATGTCATACCACATTCATGACGAATTCAGAACGTAGCACAGTGTCTAGCTAAGGACTCAGGCTTCTTCTATTCCTCTGGAATTTGCCTGCTGCTTTTTCTCTTCTGAATTCGTTGAGTGTTGATGCTGAAACTAGAAGTAGGTCGAAAATGGGCGAGTTGCCGTAATATTAGTCGTTTTAGGTCATTTATGGAACTTTTATCATCGATAGTTTTTATTCATCGTTAGCCTTTTCACAGTATCAATTATTGATTCAGTTCCTGAATCTTTAATTGCTTTTGTAATTGTTGTTATTTGTGCATATTGTTTGTTACTATCTTGATACGAAACAGAAAGTTGCTTTTACGAATTGGTCATCTTCAGATGACTGAAAACGATCGAAACGATGATCATCAAGATGGTGAGGATGATGACGAGCGGTTGCTATCGATGGACGAGAAGTTGAAGTTCGATTTCGGTTTTGATGAGAAACGTGACGCGCATTTGATTGCCAAGAACTGTTTCAGTGTGTTCGCGAATGATCGGGTGATTTATTAACGTTATGAACATTTTTCTGCACTCATATGATATTATTTGTAAATTTTCACAATTCATGAGTGCGATGTGTGATATTTTTCTTGAAAATCTTAATGCAGAATTCATTTTTGATTTCATTGTCTTGTGAGACAAATTTTCGTGCAAAAAACTTGTTTTGTGAGCGATTTTGCTTGATGGATCAATTGGAAAGGCGATGTTTAGAAAAGTGCGGTAACGAGGAGGAGCTTCACAGGCGGTTTCGCGTTGATTCCAGTTGAATTCACTAAATAATGTGTGATGTGTGATTTTGTGGAATTTTTTGGATTGATTAGTTCGTTTTTTTTTTTCAGAAAATTAAGAAATATTTGTATCAACGATTCCGACTTTTTTCACGTTTCAACGATGGAGTT